CATGGGGAATGGGAGCAGTAACAAAGGTGTTGCGTTTATATTTTTGTTGAGTGTATGAAAGAGGACTGACCTCTGGTCCACCCATGGTGCTTTCACGTGACTCAATTGTGTCACTTCCCCTTTGTTTTGTATGTTTTGTGTGTGTGTGTGTTTCCCAGAATCAATGGGTTGGGGTTGCATGGGACTCTGAAATAAAAGAAACGTGTGAACAAAATCAGTTCAAGCAAGTGGATTTGCAACTTTTCTTTACCTGCTACATCTGGCACTTGCAGTTTGGTTGCCAGGAAGCTGGAACAAGCGAAAAAAAATTCATTTTTGTGGGCTTTTCAGGAGCTGTTTTATTTAAATAATACAACAGCTCAGTTTACATTTTGTCCCAGTGCAGGTGTGATCTACACAGCAGATGTACAGCATGTTTTAGTATTTTGTGCATGGATTATTGTCAGGTTCATGGGTAGGATCTATGTGTAGATTGTAATTGCAGAATGGAGCTTCTGTTGCTGCTTTGCAGGTATATGAGAGTCTTTTGCAGCAGTGCAAATGTACCACTCTGAGTATTTAGTGACTGAAATCATGTACTTTTGTAAGTATACAAGGACCACTGCTAACATGCTAATAATGGCTGTTATAGTCACATATTCATGTGCTCTGTGTGTTTATATGTGAGTGACCTTCTGTCTGCTGTTACTTAAACTTTAATAACGTCTACATAAGGGCTTTCGAAATTCCTGCCAGACATAAAACAGGGAGCTGAAACCCTGAAGTCTTAATACTGTGGCCGATAGGGGGCACGTAAGCTCAAAAACTTTAAACGGTTAAGACAGGAGTGTTTATACTGCGTGATGCCAGGGTTGTGTGGTCTTGTTGAACTATAAATACCTCTTGCAATGCTTTAAGAAGTGTTAACAGAAGGTTCAATGTATTGTCTGCTGTTAGTCACAGTCGTTAGCAAAAAGCAACGACCGGACTAGCCGCTTACATGAATGAATAAACCTACTGGGTTCACATGGAGCTGGCTGGTGTTCGGGTTTAATTTGAACTGCTGCTTTTGACTTATTTGGTAGTCAAACTGCAGGTCCGTCTGCACCCGCGGTCACCTGTTACTAGAAGTTAGCGGTGAGCTCGCGAGCTTATCTATTGTTAGCTTAGTGCTAGCAGGCTAATGTGCAATGGAAACGGGGGAGCCGCTAGATCCGGAATATGTTGGTAAGAACTGAAGTACAAACGGAACCGAAGCGGATAACGGGGGTTCAGAGGTGCAGAGCACTGCACAGACAGCTAACCCAGGTTTAACCGGGCTAATGCTACATTAGCCTCAGAGCTTTCCTGTTAGACACACACAAGGAAATGCGAGAGTGTGGTTTAGGTACAATACAACGGCTGAAAGCTAGTTTCAAATCAGCAAGAGTCTGTTTACACTGTCCTAGTCCACATCCAACAAACCCGGGTTATCTGGATTTAATCTAGACACATTCATGTGTGGGTTACATGGGGAAAAAAAGGTTAAACTATAATTTTCCCCCATTTGTTAGTAGGTTTATACAATCTGTGGGGTCTAGTCCAGATTTAAGGGGTCCAGGTTATGGGGTTTGTTTTCTTGTCTTTTCTTTTTTGTAATGGATAACTGCTCTGATGAGGTTTAGATGAAATATCACATTTTCCCTGTTTTTACGTGCTGAGAGTTAGGTTAAATGTGCATACAGAGACATTTATTGGTTATTTTATCAGTTAATCTGGTCCAGGTTCAGTAGTTGGGGGTCCAGATGATTTATTTACACATTTTTTTTATGCTTCTGATACGATCATTTGTCCCGATTTATTTTTTCCAGAGAAGGCCAAGGCATTCTGGAACAATGAGGATGTGGATCAGGTCTTCGATGTGGTTTTCAAGTACCTGGAGCACCTGAAGGCAGTTCTGAAGAGGAGTGGAACCACAGATAAAGGTTCTGATCCATGTCTGATGCGAGCGAGCGGGACTCTGGCAATCTTCCTATCCTGATCTTTACTCTCTGTCTTCTCTCAGAGTATGTCCAGGCCTTCAAGCTGCTAGAGCATCTGGACTGCTCCTCCTCCTTGGCCTCCCTCCAGGACCAGGACAGCTCGGTGGTTCAGGTGGTCATTGGCTCAGGTAAACCCCAGTAAATCTCAAGGCTTCGCTGTTGTGTTTGAGTCCGACTATTGCTGAGTGTTTATTCCTCCCCAGAAGAGCTGCTGCCAGCTGACATCCTCCAACACAGCCCTTCATCCTCTTGCTCCTCCTCTTCATCCTTCTTGCCTCCTTTTAATGGGTTATCCAGTCCAACAGCGTCTCCTGCTGGCAGAGAGGAGCTGCTGCCTCCCCTCGTGCCTGTCCAGCTGCAGTACCACCTCCACACCTGCTCCAAGGTAAACACACATTGATGTCATTCAGAATCAGCCCGAGAATTTATTTTGCCTAATTTGATCTCAAAAAGTTTCTTTCATTTATATGGTGCTTTTATTCTGAATCTTGATAATCTAACAGCCTGAAAACACATTGATCCCTTTTAGTTTTTACCCAGAATCTTGAATATTTTGAAAACCTGATCCTTGTAATTATCTGAAATCTATCAAATAGTTTTTTTAATTTAGAAATCTGATATACTTCAGAACTTCAGAGCATCCTTATACGTTCCTGTAAGTAACTTGGGGCTTTTATCCTGAGAAGAAGCATTAACCTCCTAAGACCCAAACTCTTAATTTCTTTTAATTAATAAACTTTTAATTTCTCTTTGATATCTGGGCATATTGGGACCTAATGAATGTAAAAACAAAGAATTACCAGATTTTTTTTTTTTTAACCTGGTTTTTGTTTCTAAGAAAAATGAGAGCCACATATGAGGATATTTGCTTAAAATTTCGATAGAACAGTAGCAGTATAATGTCCTCGTAAGTGGATATCAGGCCCTTGTTGAGCAAAATTTAGTATTTTGGTCTAAATAACCCAAAATGTGATGTCCACATATGTGGACGGCAGGTCCTAGGAGGTTAAAGCAACTTGATAATGTCCAGTATCTAATTCATGACTTTTTTAAAAAAAAAGAAGAAACTGTCATAGTCAGTCCCTATACCAGACTGGGGGCATTTAATTTAACAGTGATCATTTACAGTTCGTAGCCAAAGGCTTTTTTAAAAATTCCTGAATATTTGAATATTTAAAATCCTGATAACGTGAGCTGTTTTTCGCTTTACAGTCCTGCCTGCCCTGTTTGCCGAGCATGACTCAGTCCACGCCGCTATTCTGGGGCCAGAACCCGCTGAAGATCCCGTTGCTCTGCGGCTTCAAGAGGCTGACCGCCATGCCACTGATTTCACCCGCCAAAGAGGGCGTGCTTTGGGACCACGGGGACCAGGAGCAGGAAGACGTAGGAAACTGGGACGTCATCTACAAGGCACCATGTGGGCTGAGCCTCCGTAACCATGACAACGTAATGCTTTTTCTGGAGGCTACAGAGAGCTATGACATCCTGCAGGTGATTAGATGATTTTTTTTGCTGTGTTCAGTGTCTCTCTGTATATTCCTCCTTCAGGTCTTTAAAGTGGGTCAGTTTTCCTCCTGCAGGTTGACTTCTTCACCTTTAACCCCTCCGTGCGGTTGGACCCTCCTTCACCAGGGGGCCTTCGGCAGCCTGAACAGGACCTGAGCCGAGGGGCGGAGCCAATACCGGTGGAGCTGTGCGTCGGGGACGGTGGCTCCCGGCCTGCTGAATTCCGCTACAGGAAGGACCGCTGGCCACATGGCTGCTTCCTGAGCCGCGGCCCAAAGCTGTTCAAGGCCTGCTGTGACTGCACAGATGGCTGCAGTGATGCAAAGCGCTGCGCCTGCATGGCCTTGACTTCTGGAGAGCGCCACTATCGCCATCACAGGCTGTTACAGGCCAACCCATCAGGGTGAGGTGAACAAGTAGAGGTTTTTCAAAAGGAGCTAAAGCAGGAGCTTTAGGTTTCCCAGTGGAAGTATTGATCATTAACTGATTCACTGATTTGCTGACAAAGTGTTACCATGGTGATCAATCTTCAGGCTCTTTGAGTGTGGCCCGTGGTGCGGCTGTGACCGATCTCTCTGCCAGAACCGTCTCGTCCAGAGAGGCATCAGAGTCCGACTCCAGGTCTTCCAGACTGAGAACCGTGGCTGGGGGGTGCGTTGTCGTGACGACCTGGACCGTGGGACCTTTGTGTGCATTTACGCAGGTGAGTGTGGCTCAGCGTTCAGTGGCTCCGTCCAAGCCACGGTCTGTAAACTCGTCCTCTCATCTGTGTCCAGGTGTGGTGCTGCAGAGGGTCCTGAATCCCACCGAACCACCGCCGCCAAAGTTGACGAGGTCCGACCTGCCGTCTGACGATGAGGTGGAGGTCGTCACGGAGTGGCTGGCCCCACCTGTGCTGGAGGGCCGACGCAATGTGTTGGAAACGCCCCCGCCTATGTCTCCGCCTACCTCACCTCTTTTGCATGTCCCTGTGATTCAGAGACCCTCCGACAGCGGCTCCAGCACCACAGACCAAGAAGAGGTTTGTTAGGCTCGTTTACTTTACTGTAAAGTTTTTTTTATTTTCAGAATTATTTTTTACATATTCTAATTCCAATATTTCTATACACATTTTATTATATTGTAAATCTTTTTCATTTGTATTTGTATGGACATCACAGGTTTTCAATTTACATATTTTTATTTTTTCCTTTGAATATTTTGTGACCTGATTTTTAAAATAATTATTGTTTATTTTAAATCATTTGTGTGTCCTGCATTCCTTTGAATATTTCCTCTAATTATTTGATTAAAATAATGTATTTTTGTGCCTTCATGATCTTTAGTTCAAAGTAAAAGGCTTCTATTTTCTTCTGTCAGATTCAGGCGGTGCTGGTTGGAGGTCTGCAGCCGACGTCTCCTTCATCAGGTCAGTAATGACTCACACAAAACACACAAATGATACATTAACACAGCTGGTAAACAATTGGCTACTGTGTGTCAGGTGATCAAGAGCAAGACGAGAAGGTGGCATCGATGTCGGAGAGCGCTGGTGTGAATGGTACAAAGGCGAGCATGAGCTTAAAGAGAGCAGTGAAGGTGGACGAAGTTTGTTTTGTGGACGCAAGCAAGGAGGGAAACGTGAGCCGCTTCATCAACGTGAGTCCAGCTGATCAGGAACATTTAGCCATCGATCAACCGATCAGGACACACATTATTTACTCTTCTCATTTAATTGATATTATTTATAATCAGGGTTTCATGTTACTTATTGTTATACATGTGCGACAGATATATATACACATTGTTTTTAAATATTATTTAATTTATGTTCTTTAGACATGTCATTAATATTTTTGCACATATTCCTTAATTTCCGCACTATGAGGTGCACTTAAAATCATTCAATTTTCTCAAAAATCCACAGTCTGCCTTATAATCCGGTGCACCTTATGTATGAATTCTGGTTGTGCTTACTGACCTAAAACCGATTTTATGTGGTACACAGCGCACAAAAATCTATCAAAAAATGTTTTAGTACGACTTTGGTAAGCTATGAAGCTGCACCGCTTGATGGATTGTTGAACCATTGCAGCAACCGTAATCAAGAGCCTCGCGGAGTAATCTGGGTCCAAAACTCCGCCCCTTTCAGGTCCCAAAGTCAAGCGAACACTGGAACACTGCGGCATCACTGAGAGTTAAAAACTGTCTAAATTCTTTGATCTCTAATAAAATGATCAGTGTTGCTGCTTTTCCAGGTGTAACAATTAAGTTTAACATCCAAACATCCATGAAAACAAAATTTATTAAATTTAATGGAGTTAGAAGTTAGCAGGAAGTTAGCTTGCTAGTTTGTATAGCTCTGTTATCACTTCCAACATAAATGAAGACAGAAAACTAAACCGTAGTGACTTTTTTTAGGGTTGCTGAAGTTGGACTAGCTAGTATGTAATGATGTGCTACATGATCACTAGGGACACAGCTATGTTAGCATAACATAAACACAGTGAACCTGGAGGATGAATGCTAACTTTTTTTCACTTGATGAAAGTTAACATGAGGGTTCCTCATGGTTAGAGACAAATGCAATCGCATGGCAGGATGCTGTAAACGGAACAAACTTCAGTCAGGAGAACAACTGAGATAATCCATCCAGAATATGAGGTCAGTCATTAATATACTGCAACAACATGGGAATAGAGCAGCTGCAAGAGAATTCAACATTAATGAATCAATGGTACAGAAGTGGAGGAAGCAAGAAGAATGAGTTAAGTTTGACATATCTGATGTTTTATAACTGTATTTTATAAACAGCTTCACAAGATTTCTTTAGACAATTTAAAAATTTTAAACAAAACATTATTTTAATTTCATTAGTAATTTCAAAATGGTGTGTGTGTGTGTGTGTGTGTGTGTGTGTGTGTGTGTGTGTGTGTGTGTGTGTGATTGTGTGTGTGTGATAGTGTGTGTGTGTTTCTAATATTTTCTTTATACTTTTCATTGTGTTAATCTTGTTCACAAGATTTTTTTGCATCTTTAAAACTTTCTAAAATTCTAAAGAATTAAAAAAATGTGTCTTTTGTTTTTGCTTGTACATTTTTCTCCAAAGCATTTTTGGACATTTCCTTTATAGTTTGTAGTTATTTTAAAAATATTTTCAAAATATTAACTGGTTAGTTTAAATTGTGGAATTTTCCCCCTTTTAGTTCATAGTTTATATATTTTTTATGCTAATGAAGAAGAAATCTTCTTCTTCTTGTTTATTATTATTATTATTGTTATTATTATTGATATCATGTGATCTCTAACCCCGCCCACAGCACAGCTGCCAGCCGAACCTTTTCATCCAGAATGTCTTCATCGACTCCCACGACCCCGCCTTCCCCGTCGTTGCCTTCTTCACCAGCAGGTGAGGAAGAGGACTGAGAGGACGTTAATGTAGGTTATTATTAGTGGTCATTTTAATAATTGTCCTCTTTGTTTTCTTGCTGTAGGGCCGTAGTGGCTGGCACTGAGCTCACCTGGGACTACTCTGCCAACGTCCAGATCGATTCACTGCAAAAACAGGAAGTGTCTTGTCTCTGCGAAAGCGACAATTGCCATGGGAGATTCACCATCGAGGAGAACCTATGTGACGTTTGTGAGGTCGAAGGTCACATAGCAATGGAGGCCAAGTGATCCTCCATACAGTTTGTTAGTAACAGTTTTGGTATTTAGAGTTTTTTTTCCTAAAAAGCAATAAAAGTTCAGCTATTTTACTCTGAAAGTTTTTCAAGTCTTTATTATTGGGAAGGCTTTAATTTTGAGAACCCTTTTTCTGTGTTTGAGCTTTTATTTTTGTGTCTCTACTTTGGTCATTTTATTTTGACACTGCCATGGATTTAATGTTCAAACAGCCAGTACAACTTTTCTCTTGAAACTGGTGCCCAAAGTGTCAAAGTTCTGTGTTCATTTTTAAGCAATAATAAACGTTGCTTTGAAAACCTTCAACATGAGTAAATGGTTTACTATTGGTGCAGCTCTTTGGGGGATTTGAAATTGTATATAAATGTCCGATTGTATTTATTACAGCGTTTATTTAAAAATAAAAAATAAATAAAATATATATATATACGGCAGATTTTTTTTTTTTACATTTGTTTCTAATTTATTCCTAATATTTCCATTATTTCTGAAAAGTCACTTGGACACTCCAGCTTTTGGTTGCGGACTTTCGGTTGTAGCCCAGCAATGCTTTTATTATGAAATTTCAGACCGGATATTCGGTATTGTTTATATCGCCTCTCTCGGTCTTCACCGACTCTCCACCATACACTCGAGCCAAAGATGAGATCTCTGTGGCGGGCTGTGCGTGTCTTCCTCCTCGGCCTCTCCTTGGCCTCCCTTTCCCTGTCCGGTGCGTCCCGGTTCCACATCCCGCCTCATGACCAGGTGGCCCGGGTTGCGCGCTTCGTTGCGCACCAGGTGGACTGGGCCTCCATGGCCACCATCTCCACCCACAAACCGGTGGTGGGCCAGCCGTTCTCTAATGTCTTCTCGGTGAGCGACGGGCCAAGGGGCTCGGGTTCCGGGGTGCCTTACATGTACCTGACCCGCATGGAGATCTCCGTGCAGGACCTGGAGGTGAGCCTGACCCAGGATATCAGTGTTAAAACAGGAACTGAGCCTTCCTGTTCAGAAGTCAGTTTATGAACTAGAATTTAGTGTACTCGACACTCTCTGTATCTGCGCTGTGTTGCTGTAAAAGGCACTGCGTCTCGTTCAGAACTCCATTAAGAAAACCATTAAAGTTCAAGGTTACAGGTTCTGGAGCGATAAAGCGTAAAATTAAATAACATTTGACTTTAGTGATCTTCTGCTTTAAAAAGCCATCAGCTATCAGTAACTTATTCTATACAAAACAAAAGTGTGGAACTTGGTAAACACAATATTTACTAACAATACGCTTATGTAAATATGTTTGCAGTGATTAGCACTGTTTTTAAAATGCTACTGCAGAATTATTGCAAACGCATCAAGAATATTTATTTTAATACTCCTCACATATAGAAGAGCAAAACTGCCAAGGTCTAAAATGCATTTACAAAAACGGAAAGATAAAAAATAGGTAAAAATATTTAGAATTTTATTGATTTTTAAAAAATGAAAAAAAAAAGTATAAATAGCCTGATTTAATGTTCTTTAATTTGTTTTGGGGGGTTTTGTATCTTCTTTATCTTTTCTATTTTACTAAAAAAAAAAAATTTTTTTAATTGAAAATTTTAGTTCACAAAATAATGTTAATGATGATTTTCTTTCCCATGGGGAAGAAATGTATCATTAACATTATTTTGTGCATTTAAGGTAATATTATTATTTTTTTAACATTTTAATATTCAGACTTTCATTTTAAAGGTTATTTGAAGTTATGTGAAATAATGTGAAGTTATGCTGAGATATAAAATCGTGAATATTTGAGCTTATAAAACTGCATTTTACATAAACTGTGATGTAAGTGCAGCATGACTCAGCATATTTTCCTGGCAGTGACTCAGCAGTTGTCAGTCACATGTCAAAGCAGAAGTTGAGACCACAGAAGAAGAAACGAGTGCTTGAAATCTGCTGAAACGACACAGAAAACAGGTTTAAATGAAGTTCAGCTTTGTTAAAGTTTGCTTTATTACAGGAAGTTATCAAAATAAAACAGAGCAGCAGCTTTTTATTGTCTTGCAGAAGGTTATAAAGTTTGTTTGAGCTAAAAAGTCATTTTCTCAGGATTAAATATTTATTTTTAGTACCTCCAGTTTTAATGACCTCAGTTTCTTTCTCACTTCTTCAAGATAAGATAAGATAAAATAACTCTTTATTGTCATTGCACAGTCATACATAGTACAATAGTACAATGAAATTGGAAAACTATCCTACACATACATACTACATACACTACATATAACACAACACGACCCGATACGAAACATCACAACGCAACACAAACAACACAACATAGTATAATAAGTTAGTAAAAAAAAGAAGAATAAGTGTATTTGCATTGCACACTGTTATTAATGCACATTAATTGTTATTGCACCTTGTTATAAATATAAATATTATTATTGTTACTGTTGTTACCTCCCCCCCCCCAAAAAAAGTCCAGGTAGCCAGTCAGGTCAGCTATTTGCATTGATCAGGGCTATTGCCCTGTTGTAAAAGCTTTCCTTGAGTCTATTTGTTCGGGACCCCAGCAGCCTGAACCTCCTGCCAGACGGCAGCAGCTTAAACACCCGGTGTCCTGGGTGTGTACCTTCCCGTAGGATGCTGCGTGCCCTCTTGAGACAACGAGTGCTGTACAGGTCCTTCAGGGAAGGAAGAGGATGTCCAATGAGTTTTTGGGACATATTCAAGCAGGTTTTAATGGTTCAAATTGCAGATTTTTGCCCCAGACATATAAAATGATTAATGATTCTCATATTTAGATATTATTTGTCTGTATATGGAGGATGAAAATGCCTAAATTAAAAAAAGATAAACAAATAAATAAATAAATATTTTAATTTTAAGAAAAATATAGCATTAAATAAGAATTGGACACAACTAATTAATTAAAAGTATACGTTTTAATAATGCTATAAGATGTGTGTATGCGTGTGTTACCTGTGCTGTGTGTATTGATGCAGGTGAGCCCTGTGGCGTCTCTGTCCATGTCTCTGGCTCAGACTGATTACTGCAGGCAGCAGAGCTTTGACCCTCAGAGTCCGCTCTGCGCTCACATCATCCTGTCTGGATCTGTACAGGAGGTATGTACACACACCTGTGTTTCACACATGATCAGTTCGGACCCGTCACATGATCACCTCCTCCTGCTGTGGTTCAGGTGAACGGGACAGAGGCGGAGTTTGCAAAGAAAGCGCTGTTCACTCGTCACCCCGAGATGATCGAGTGGCCGAGCGACCACAACTGGTTCTTCGCCAAGTTCAACATCACACAGGTACTACTGCAAATACTACAACCTAATACCACAGTAGTACTGCAAATACTACAACATAATACCACAGTAGTACTGCAAATACTACAACATAATACCACAGTAGTACTGCAAATACTACAACATAATACCACAGTAGTACTGCAAATACTACAACATAATACCACAGTAGTACTGCAAATACTACAACATAATACCACAGTAGTACTGCAAATACTACAACATAATACCACAGTAGTACTGCAAATACTACAACATAATACCACAGTAGTACTGCAAATACTACAACATAATACCACTGTAGTACTGCAAATACTACAACATAATACCACTGTAGTACTGCAAATACTACAACATAATACCACAGTAGTACTGCAAATACTACAACATAATACCACAGTAGTACTGCAAATACTACAACATAATACCACAGTAGTACTGCAAATACTACAACATAATACCACAGTAGTACTGCAAATACTACAACATAATACCACAGTAGTACTGCAAATACTACAACATAATACCACAGTAGTACTGCAAATACTACAACATAATACCACAGTAGTACTGCAAATACTACAACATAATACCACTGTAGTACTGCAAATACTACAACATAATACCACTGTAGTACTGCAAATACTACAACATAATACCACTGTAGTACTGCAAATACTACAACATAATACCACTGTAGTACTGCAAATACTACAACATAATACCACTGTAGTACAGCAAGTTCAAGTCAGTTCAAGTTCAGATAATTACTGAACTTGACCTGCTATGAATGCTTTGAAACAATCCCACAGTACTACTACATGTTCATTGTTAGAGATATAATAAGTATAAGTACTACTAATATTTCTAATAATACTATAAATACTGTTGAATGTTTCCACTATAATAATACAAGTTAAATGTGAACGTGCAGTACACTCATGCTTCTGTTATGCTGTTGTCATTTTAAAACATGACACAAATATCAGTACTGATATAATAATCCACTTTAAATCCATGATACTACTTGTTTAAAACAACTCAATATATATTATAAGTATATATTATAATACTACACTATCATAATGATGGTATAATAATGATGGATAATACTACTAACACTAAAACACCACACAGATACAGGTAGTACACACCTGCCACCTCCTACTACCACCTGCCACTAGCAGTAACTCAGTAGTAATTCAACCTATAAATACTGTCACACAAACTATAAATATCAACTTGACTTCAATTCTCTTAAATTTTCTGTTATTTTCTTCTTAATTTAACACACACATTTAACTCACACTTCTGCGCACTTCTGTATGCTCATGTAAAGCTGAGGACACGAGCCAAAGAATTTCATTTGGCTAAATGTGGCTACTCGGTTTATCTGTACTTGACATTAAAACTTGAAACTAGTAATACCAGAAAATTTACAGTAATAATATTACTGATACAAAAGCATAACTGAGCTATTTATAATACTAGAAAGACACTGCCATAGTACTATTATTAAAAATTATAATAATACCACTAATACTACAGGTACTCCAGCATCACACACCTTGTAATACTAGCTCTATCATTACTGTAGCACTTGTAGTCCTGAGGGCACACCTGTGCTGCTCTCAGCCAATCATGTGACATGAAGTCAGCAGGCTGGTCCTCCTTCCTTGTGTTTCAGGTGTGGGTGTTGGATTACTTTGGCGGGGTGAAGACCGTCACTCCTGATGAGTATTTCCAGGCAACGCCGTACAGGAAGCACCACTGATGGTTTGTAGTCCTACTGTTCTGTTTGTAGTCCATCACTTCCTGCTGGAGCTGACACCACGCCTCCGTTTAAAGACGTGCAGTTAAACCATCGTCTTGTTAATTTTTCTGCTCATTTTGTTTTTTATTCTGTTCAGGATTCGAACCTGCGAACCCCGCAACCAGAATGTACGAGATGCAAAATCCTCCTCAGGAGTTACACGCCGATTAATCTGCTACGAATCCATGAATTTATCCAACCGCTGAATCCACGTCATTTACATCATGCCTGCTTTATTCTTAATTTTAGATTTGAAAGCTTCTGTTTCTGAAAACAGGCAAACAAAATCAGATGAAGTGTCCTAAACACAGAAGTTGTCTTTCACTCA